ATTTAACTTTGTCACTTTGGCCGGTGCCCCAGCTCTTTGCCTTTTTTCACTGTGGCCGTCGTCACTTGGCACATTTAAGTGGATTTGTTTTGCTTTATTGGTTTCGTCCTCGTTCTCGCTCCCATTCCCATTCCCAATCCCATTTCATTTGGTTTGTTTCCGAGTTTTGCCGTGGCCTCTGGTTTCGTTGTCTGCCGTTTTTGGGCCACAACTTTTTAATTTTTATATATTTTTACAACTTTTGCAGCGGCCTGCCAGCGGATTTGACTTCTTTTTATTTCCCCACATTGCTGAGCTTGTTTTTGGGGATTTTTACACTGGATGAAATAGGTGGAGTTACCTTAATTTCTCAGATCATTTATGTCCCATTGGAACAGCACCTTGATAAGGTGTATATATATTAATATTTCATTGATCGATTAAGCAGCTAAAGCAAACATTTTTTTATACACCCATAAAATTATTTTTTTAAAATTAAAATATATATTTTTACAGGTTAACAGTTATATTTTCTAAGAATTAAACTAAATTGAAGCCTTTAAATGGCCAGTGGTAACCCCCTATATTTTACTGCAAGTGTTTGGACCACAAGCTCAACCAAATATTTATTGCATCTTCAGAGGCGGATTTGCAAATCATTAAAAAAACTGCCAACTGCTAACTTTCAGCACTTTTAGCCTTTCGTCTGCGACTTTGGCCAATTAGGATTACGGCGAGCGTTGGAAATGGCAGCGATTAGCAAAGGACTTTCGCGAAAAGGCTTTTGGCCAACTTTTGGCCTTCAAGTGGCTGTCAGTTTTTATATTTTTTTCAGCGGACTAAGAACACCGCTTCCAGGTCACGCGCACCACCACAATTGGCCACAAATCTAAACCGAAATTAAGAGACTGGGAACTGGGAACTGGAAACTGGAAACTGGGCACTGAGAGGTCCTGAAACAAGCTGATGATGATGAGGCTGCCGCCGAAGCTCCTGTCTCCTGTTGATCGTCTGGGTCTGATTTGCATATTTGCCAATTTACAACAAAGAACTGCAACGTGGCCTGCATACATATGCGACTCGGGATTCGAGGGCCGACGACCTCAGATTTTAACAGACTGCAGCCTGCGGTCAGCTCCCCGTATTCATAATCAGCGGATAGTTTGGGAATTCAGGGGGAAATGCGACTCCGGATAGACGGGCAGCCATTTTTGTCTTTTGCCCGCTTGCGGTTTCCGTTTCCGTTTCGTTTCGTTTTTTTGGTGCCCCGTTTTGGGGCATGCCTTCAATTTCTATTACTTTTGCTGACGAATTTCGCTTTGAGTCCGCTTTGTTGGCCACGCTTTATTACTTTTCCGACGGCAAAGGAGAGAGACGGCGAAGATTCGGTCATTAGGTATGCATGTCGCGTCTCAATGCGAAATTTACCCTAACCCAAAGGGTAGCCACGAATTTTAAAGTGACTGAAGTCTGGCCAAAAGTTCTGGAGAATCAAAGCAAAAATAAAAGAATCCGTTGTTAAATTAAAAAATAGGAACTCATTTAAGTAGGAATTATTTCCTTTATTTAGCCGGCATTTATATTTCTTACAGAATGATTTCCAAATTGCAAACTTCAGTGAAAAGAAATTCGTTAAGGGAAACTTTCGCACATTGCCCGGCTCACTCTTCACCCAATTTCCACTGCATTTTCTAACCACTGCGGCCAGAGTTTCCTTTGCTGTCCTTTTGGGTCCTGCGCTTGGCTTTAATAAGAGATGCCGTCTCAAGGAAATGGGCAGACACCTGCCTCCCAATGCCCAGTGCCCAATGCATTTTTGGAGTGGAATGCAGTCAGGAGCAGAGGACCAAGGACCAAGGACCAACGAGATGTGATAAAAATTAACGACTCCCCGAGGGGGTGGCAAGGTGAGATGATGACTGGCAAGAGGGTGCCAGTCAGCGAAAGTCAGTTTTTAAATTTTTAAACATTTAATTCCGGGCTGGGAAGTTTTATTTGATTTAAATATGCATTCTCCTCGCAAGAAGACTCGCAACCCACCACCTTTTGGCCCTGGCAAATTGAATCCGCATTCGAGAAACTATTTGTGGAAAGAACACGGCGAAGGGCAAAAGACAAAAATAACTACATAAATTATTTATGCAATATCTGAGAATGTGAGCCCAGCCAAGGAGAAAGGGCGAAAGAAAGGAGAACTTGTTTTCCTCGTTGCCATTTTTATTTGCGCTCTAAATGCTGCAACATTTTGTTTACGGCCACCGAGGAGCAGAGTCCTCGTTGTTGGCTGAACAAATGCTAATTTGCTGCAGATACGAGTGGGGCAACATCAGCATTTGGGGGCAGAAAGGTCATCAAATAATCATATTTGATTTATTTGTGCAGGAATTGCATGTTCAATGGGCAAGTTCTTAAATAGGTTGGCATTTCAGAGCATTACCAATCACTACTTTTCTTCAAAGAAAATGCACATAAGTGGCACCGTTGAATGTTGCACTTCCAGGAATTTAATAAAATGGAATTAATAATAAAAGCAACCTAAAGTCTAATCCCCACGGAAAAGAGTTCAAGCACGTTTCAATGTGAATGATTTTTCCATAATCTCTGATTTCAATCAATGGGAGTTTCTAGTGGATAGAAACAAGAATTCTACTTATCTGAGACTTACCCTAAATCATTAACAAGTTCAGCTTATTACACTTTAATCATTATATCGACTGCAATTGTATAATTCAAATAGTTTATAGTTTGCGCCGCAAAACTGCAATGCAAAAGCTTTCCCAACCAAGCTTTTCCATGTAAAACTCAAGCTTTCCACAGCTGCCTTTCTTGTTAATGCAGCTGCAGCTTTGCGCCTTTTTTGGTTTTAATAAGTAAAACATAAATAATATTAAAATAAGTATTTAAACAAAAAATTATAGCTTACATTGTTAAAGTTTATTTTTGTAAAGGATTTGAAGAAGAATTATATGTTCCAGCACTTGACTTCACTTCACCTTGCACAACCCACAAAAGTAGGCAACAAATTGGTGCCCTTTTATGTTAAACAGATTACAGCTCACAGAGGTTATGCTTGTGTTAAAAAAATGTCGGGGGATAAACCAAAATTTAGCAGCTGCCACAACAATAATAAAGGACAACAAAAGCGGAATTATGCCACAGGACAAGCAGCTGTTTTGCAACTGAGAGCAGAACCGCGGCAGAGAATGCGAGTCCTGCGAAATTTGAAAGGAGAGAGAAACGAGCGAGCTTTTGGGGCACTTCGGATTTCGCTGCAGTTGCAAGAGGTTCGAGGGTATAGGTGTAGCTGAATAGAATGGAATAACTACAATTACAATTAAATATAAAAATCATATAAAACCTAGTACACAATCAAAGTCTTATCTAGTAAAGATTCAGTTCGTTAATTGGAACTTTAATTTAATTATTTTGTATTTCTTTTCGAATAACATTTAAGACATATCTAGTTTGTAACTGGAAAAGTAGTTTTTAATGGCACATAAATATGTTTTAATTTTATAAAAATATTAGGACTATTAATTCAACACTTTGCCACACTTATTATGTTTTACGAGGTATCTGCTAGTCTTATCAACGACCTATTTGCACACATTTGTTTATTTGGCTTGGCACTTTGCGGCCTTTGCTTTTTAATTTAAATGTTAATCTGCTTGCATGTGCATGCAGTGGCCCTCACCCTTTTTGCCCAGTGAACTGGCATATTTTTCATAATTCCTGCGGCTCAAAGTCGCTTTGCATATGTGGCGGCAGCAGACTGACGCCGAACTTAAATGGCTGAAATTGTTAAAGTGACCCCCTCTCCTTCACTTTATCCCTGGATCCCACTCCACCGCCACTCGATCTCACTTAAGTTTTTATATCCTGGCTCACACACACGTCGCTTTATTGTGTATTTGTCTTGGCTGCCGCAAATAAAGACGGTCTAAATGCAAGACGTCGCAGCAATGGAAATGGAATGGGCATCGGTATAGCAATGTGAATGGGAATGGGAACGAGCACGGGCTAAAGGAGAGAATTCATTAAAAATTAATCCAACGAGTGCGAGGTATATTTGGACCCATTCCCATTTCCCATTTCCCTCCGCTCGGATCTTCCTTGTTCCTGCTGTCTGCTATTCAATTACGTATGCCACGGCAGCCATGAAAATGACCTGCAGCGCCGTCGCCCCTCTACCCCTCCCTCTCTCTGCCCCGCCCCTCGAGCGTAGTAAATTCTAACAGCACTTGGGGTTCACCTCTGGCCACCCCTCTCACCTGGCCCAAACCACCACCCACCGCCCAACCACCCAACCACCCAACCCCCTCACAGCTCGTTGGCTGCCTGGCTGCTCGGTTGGTTGGCAGTTTTATGTGTTTTGTCTTCGCATGCCGCATAAACGGAATTATTTACAATTTATTTTTACCTGAGCTAAGACACCGCCGGCTACACAAGAAAAATAGTCGATCAAGTTGTCCTTCAAATTACTTGAGATTAAAAATAATTGATATTAAAACTAAGGGGTACTTAAATCATTTTCTTCCTGTGACAATACATACTTAAATTCAATTCCAATTCCAAATTTATGTTGTGAGCTGTAATGAAAATGTTAATAAAATCTTTTTTTATATGCATTGATCTATTTTTATTTTATTTTTGGCCTAATAGAAGTGCAGTGTAGGAAAACCCAAGACGAAGATGAAGCAGGAACCAAGAAAAGCCAAGGAAAGAGGGGAAAAAGAGGACGGGTCTGTGGCAGCGGCAAGTGCTGGCATTTGGTTGCCGCTTGTTTGTTTTTGTGCTATTCAAAATGTCTTCATTGCCGGACAGAAGATGCCAAAGGAGCTGACCGAGGAACCAAAAGGACGAGGCAGCAGGACTCCGCTTGATTGCCTTTAATTTGAAGATGAAAAGTCTGAAGCTGGAACGGGGGCAAGGTACTTTTAATTCAAGCCAATAACTTGGGTAGAGAAACATTCAAGATGAAAACATGCAATAAAACAATTGTTAGTGTCTTATGGCAGTAGTAACTTTTTGATAAATACAAGTTTGATGAGATTTAATAGAGAAATACACCAATCAATTTAATTAAATTTGCTGCTTTTCTCGTTAATTTACTTGTCCTTCAGAACTTGGACAATTTAAACAGAATTTGGTTTAATATTGCCTTTCACAACAGCTGCCCACCTCGATTTTGGTTCCAAATCACCTTTCTCCAGAGTTTCCAGCCTAGAGTTCAGTCTAAACCATATTATTTGTCCCAAGAGCATAATACTCGATATCAAGACACTTGGAATAGCGATTTCCGAAGAGCTCTCTGTAATGGTACTTGCATATTCTATAGCATCTGGGGGAAATGGACCCATGGTAAAATTTAATCCATCGGCCATTGCTGAATTTTATTACTACGAGGGAAGAGGGAGGGTACGTGTGAATCATAAACATATAAGAACATTAACTTACAATAATAATATATAATTATTTTGAATACTTTCCGGTGCTTTGTTCGTAGTAACAAGACTTTAATTTGTTTTTCAATGCTTGCTTGGCAAAACTTCCAATCCATTTAATGTTATACAATTGTTTAAAATGATTCAATATTAAACGAAATTAATAAAAAGCTTCTTAATTAGTTTAAGCTTTATCAGTATAACAATAGAGGGAGTATCCTGCTAATCATAAAATATATTAATTAATTAAATCTAATATATTACCTTATAAAGAGTAATTCGTTTATTGCTTTTATCCGAGCAAAGCTCCACAAGTGTTGCGTGTTTAATTGAATGGCATCTAATGCCAGTGCAAATCGAATCGCAATCGAGAGATCCACACAACGCTCTCACTAGCAGTTTAAGCCAAAAGCCAAGGAGTCACTCTGCATAAATTAGTGCGGGCTTAAATGCAGAAAGCCAGAGTGCAGCTAAACAGATATTAACGCCAAGGATGGCAAAAGATGCTCCACTTGAGCACTCAGTGCCGTTCTCGTCCTCGTCCTCGTCGTCCTCCTCATCATTATCATCAACATCATCGTGTGGCACTCATAAGCATAAGTATGAGCATGAGCGATGATAAATCATTAGGGGCAACGTGTTGCGGCCAACTTGACTTGACAGTCACTGCACCATCCAACCTAAAACCCCTTCCTTCCCCTCCCCTCCCCACGGTGGGTGGCCATGGAGTGGGTGGTGCGACTGGGGATGCTGATTATCAGAGTCATTGTTCTAGAGTCTGTCCCCAGCAATGTGATCTCAGCCATTTTTCGCTAAGACTTCGAGCAGACAAACAAGAATTTAAAATTGATGAAAATGTGGGATTTTAAGATAGATATATACATTAATTTAAACATATTTTAATTATGTAAAATAGTAACGAACAGGGGATATATATAAAGGAAAAACCCTAGTTAAATATATTAAAGAACGAATTTAACCAATGTAATCTCTTTCTATAAGTGGGAACCACTTTCTGTAAAGTTCACAGTTTAGGGCTCCTATGATCAAAAATCTGACAATAATTAAGTGACTAAACTTTATAATGCTTGCAAAAAAAAACAGCACCTAGTAATTTATTTACTAGTAAACTATTATTTTACGAGACTCCTAAGTTTAAAATTCTTAAATTTGACAACATTGTATAAACATGATTTCAAAAGGCCAGCTAAATCTTTATAGATGGAGTGTTCATCACTGGTGAAACAGAGATAAACCAAAAACTTCGTAGTTATGCGATTCAGCTGCATTCAGCCGTAAGAAGACCCCTTCCTTTGAGTCGGCCTCTCATCGCCGGGGATAATTATTAATGCGCACCTCAAGTTGGCAAATAATGATATAGTGCTCGATAGATACTCAACGCACTTGTGTGTGGCAAATTTATGGGCTGTACGTGTGGTATAAACAATTGGGCAGCCACCCCGCTCCCCCTTCCCCTTCCCCTCCCACACCCATTTGGTAACCCAAACCCTTTTCCAAACACTCCGTCACCTGCGGTTGATGGGTTTGCGATATGCAGTTCGGGGCCCAAATGCATTTTAAGCGGGCCTTTTTCCGCTTGACTTTTCCGACCGCAATGCGACGCTCGTTGCAGAAATGCAAATAAGCTGGAAATACTTTTCGCTTTTGAGAAATTTGCATATATTGTACTTATCAAACAAAGGCAAAAAAAGATGACGTTACGTATACGCAACGGCGGGCTTAGTAATCTGCTGGTATATTAGATTTTGTAGTATATTGACGACAAATAAATATAATTAATATTAAGTATTATTACTTGTTGACTTGTTTCATCGCCCTTGTGATTATTTTATAATACTTTAGGTTGAGAAGCTCTACAAAAATCAATTTACCCTTCAGAAGTCAACGAATAAAGCCTGAAAATGTTTTTCCACCATTAAGCTCTCCTGTAATTAATCAGCGAACAAATGCAAATTACTTTTCCGACTTGACGTTGCAGTATTTGTTCCTGTTCTTGTTCTGGCCTCGTTGTTCGTGGCTCTTTCAATTGGTCTTGAGTCGTGCTGCTAACTGTGTTAACCGGAAACGGAAATGTAGCTTGCATAACAAATGAATTTCGCTGAGGGGTGGCCGCTCCGCTCCGCTCCTTTTGACAAGTCACCAAGGCCTCGTGCCATTGTTCTGCCATCCCCAGTTGTTCCCATTCTTCGAGTTTCTTTCGCATAAATTGCTTTTCCACATATTGTTTGGGGTTGGGTGGGCTTGTGAGACCCTCTATTGAAAGACAACTGGCGGTGACAGGCCTCATTTTAGCGAAAGACCTAAGACGCAGCTAGAGATTCCCAGTGGATGGGTAGAAATCGGGGGTAAAACACTGCCGAATGCTGGTGCAACGCGAATTGCATTTCGCCCGGGGCAAAATTTATGAACATCATTGCCATGCGTCAAATAAATGTCAAAAAGAACGCCGAAAGTGCGGCCATTAATGCAAAAGATCCGTGAGACCAACAAAATTCCGTTGGCGCTGCAGAACCGCAATAAAAAATTTCGCAAAAATTTTCGCCTTGTTTTTTTGTATTTTTTTTCGGTAGCTGCTGTTTTTGTTTGGCATGTTAAACACAATTTTTTAATGAATTTTCACGCCAGTCGAGTGTAAAATGCCAGGACGTTGGCGGTGGGGCTCTGACTACTTTTAAAATGCCATAAAACTAAAAAAAAAATGCAAAAATATATATATTCCCAGGGCGGCAGACAAAGTGAAAAAATTGTTTTTCGAAAGTTTGTTGCTGATATTTCCCGATTGTTGTTGCTGCTGAATGTCCCCCTTTCCCCTCAATTTGTTGTCCCCTTTTCAGTGATGTTTTGTGTGAATTCACCAAGACAAGGCAATGGTGGTCTGAATGTCCTAACAGGATAATTGGTTCGATTGGCTGAGTCAATCATTTAGGTGGCCTGAAAGATGATATGTAAAAAACCCACCTATTATTGGCATAATAAGGTTCCCAAAATAAATAATTTTATATACCTTTTAAAAGAACTGGCTTCTGTTCTAGAAATAAAAATTCAGTTCAATGGAATATATATTATTGGAATTACATATTATTAAATATATAATTAAATAATGATTAATAGAATAAAACATTTGCCTACTTTCAGAGAACTTTTTAAGGACCTTTTTAAAAAATCTTGTTCGTGCCCCAAAAATCAAAAAACTAAGATCCCTTTAAGTTTTTAATTTGTGTGTAAAATTTTCTCTGCCAAAGGGCATTTAGCATTTCCCATTGATAACTCCCAGATATTCATCTTCCACTCACTTCTTGTTTTATTTCGTTTGTTTTTTTTTTGGTTTTCATTTCGATGCTTCAAGCGCAAGCGACAGATGATAATAAAAAATTTTATTACACACAAGCTCATCCATTTGACTTAATGGCGGTCGGAATGTTGCAGGCTTTTAATGTGCGTCATCATGAAGGGGTAGAACGGGGGAGGGGTGGGGCGAGAAGGGGAGGGATTTCCCGGCTAGGTATTCCGCAGCTTCTGTTTGAGCTGTTGATTGTTTAATAATTTTTATTTTTGCCTTTGCGTTTTTCGGTCTGCGCTCTTCTCAAGTGGAAGTGCATGTAATTTCATTTGCAATTTGCATTTAACTTTTTTCGCCGGAGAGATTTGTAGGCCGCAGTGATTGCAGCTGTTGGGGCACCAAATAAAATAATATCCGAGTGCATATATCCTGTATATATACCCCCCCGCCCGGCTGACACTCAATAAATCAGCGAAATGTGCGAGCAAAATAATAATTAATGGGCCAAAAGGGGGGATGGTGCATGAAAATTTGTGAAAAATTACACAATTTCCGCACACCCAATTATAATTGCCAGCGAACCGAAATGAGCACTGCAGCCTTAGTATGCAGTACATGTAGAAAATGAGTTAAGTGTTAGCCATCCCACCAGCGGAAGCAGACAACACTTGGCTTAATTTCACCGCCCGACCGACTGTCTGTCAGTTTTCCGCTTTTCCGCTTTCCCTGCTCCACATATAGTATTTTCTCCTTCGTCGACCGGCGCTCATCATCATTTGGCACAGCCGCATGTTCAATATGATTCGTGACATGTTAGGGAATTAGTGCTGGCTCCCACCCACCCAACCACCCACCTATCCACCCACCTATCACCCCACCCAAACACCCGGGAGCAGTCCAAGTTCGGGTTGCTGGCCACGTGCGCCACATGTTTGTCATGCCAAGTGGCGCCAAGCGGCCTCATTAATGTGAGTTGCTTTAAGTTTTATTTATTTATTATTGGACTTTTTCCGGGTGGCTCTGTTTTCCCCTTGTTCCCCCTTGTTTTTCCACGGATTTGTGCTAGCTAATTGCTTTTTGTTTGGCCTCAGCATTGGAACTAGCTTGAATAAACTAAATGAAGCTCGGAAAAATGTTGGTTGGCGTAAATAGTAAGGAAAGGAAAGTAGGCAACCTTCTGGTTATTAGGCGGGACTGTATAGCTCATTTCTTTTAATGTTAATTTAAAATAGGATAACTTGTTTGAATATCTCTGTCTTAAAATATTTTACATGCACTTATAAGTCCTGAAATGAATAATAATCCATTTGATGACAGCTGAAGAATAACAATTTTTAATTATATATTTAATTATATTGATATACCTTTTCTTCCATAAAAACCAGCCTTTTTCAAAGAGACATAACCATTAAGACTTGTGGTTCTATAAACGTTGAACAGTTTATTATTATTATATGAATATAATTGTTTGAATTTCCTAAAAGTCACATCTTCGTTCAAACATCTCGACTCCTCTATATCGAGTATACGACGTGTGGTCGTCGCTCATACGCCTTGAGTTTTCCCAGTGAAACAACGATGGCCTGTGATGCCTCTCACAAAATAGTTGTTGCCAGCTCGCCTTGTTTACAGTTTGTGTTGAACAGTGTTGCGCCTCAAAGTTTGAGGCGTGTCTGGTTTCTACACGAGTCCCTGGTCTCTTATCATGTTAGTTGGGGCTTTATTGCCCCGAAATAGTGGCTCAAGAAGTATTTGGTTGCATGCCTCGCCATGCGGGTGTCACCTCTCTTCAGGTCCCAACACTCCACTTCTGCCTTCTCGTCTAATTTGTAAAATTATTCGCACGTACTTTCTTATTACTTTGTTTTGCCTTGTAAATTTTGTTGCCCAAAAAGCGAAACTTTTGCAGAATAGCAACAAGAAAACAAGGTTCCTTTTTTAAGGGTTTTCTTTACTGTTAAATAAGTTAACTTTAAATAAATTGATAAATAACTAGATTTCTTTTAGTTTTATGTCCTTTAAATGTATATTAAAATTCCAGTTTTACCCCAAAAAAATTATTCAGATTTAGCTATAGAAAACAAAATGCAAAACGCTTTTTAGCCTCAGTAATTTTCGAGCATATTTATTTGTCAGGCACCAGCGGCCAACCCACTCAATCAAGCGGACCGTTAAAAAACTCTCGACCGAAAAACAAGAGAGTTGGAAAACCTTCAGACAACAGAAAATTTCCATTTATCAAGCGGTATAACAGCGACATTTGATCAAGATATTAGCAAATGTTCAATTTATTTAGAAAAACCGCCGCAGCACATGGCCCGAAAAAAGCGCACACAAAATGGAAAAACAAGTACTCAGTGCAACACGGTAAAAGAAAAACTTAAACCCAAACCCAAACCAAAACCGAAAAATGCAAATCGAGCTGGGGGAATTAGTGACAGCCGAGCGGAAAGACCGACTCCACTTTCAGTTCCAGCTTTGCCCTCAGAGCTTTCCCAGTGTGACATTTGCAATTGACAGTCGCATCGAGTTGAGTTTTCAGTTGAGGTTTTCCGTGGGCCCAGGGTTTTTTTGGGGGAAAGGAAAGTCAACTGCAGCCTTTGCTGCCATTCCTTCTTCCTTCTGCGACAATTTAAAACTGCGAAAGTTTTAAATGTTCGCCTCGCTCCTTTTTATTTTCAAGTTTTTCCTTTCGTGGGGCTTCAGCTTTTTCCTTGCGGCAAAATGTCAAACTGCGGCCAAAGTTCGCGTGCAAAATGGCGTCCCCGGTGGGCGTGGCAGGGGCAAAGGGCGCAGAAAGGCAGGCGGCTAACACGTGTGCAGTTTTCCAAAATATTTCTTTAAATTTGCCCATTTTCAGAGATTAATTTAGCCCGAGACGGTAGTTTTTTAAGCCGGCTAAGATACCTCTGCTGCACAGTGGTTAGGGATATCTAGAGATATTTCGCAAATGATTATTGAGATAGTAGTTTAGGGATATTTGGTAAAAGTAATTAAATGTGACATGTAAGGACCTAGCCAATCGATGGTAAAAGTAATTTAAAGTAACTTGTAAGGGACAAGACAATTGAAAGTTAAAAGTGTTATATCTTTAAAGTGGTCCTATAAAATGATTAGTAGTTTATAGGAATGGCAATGGTTATTCATTTATTACATTCTGTAATGTAGTATTTTTAGTCAATTTTTAAGTTGTCCTTTTAAATGATTAGTAGTTTATAGGAATGTGTAATGGTTATATCATTCTGTATTGTAGTATATTTAATCAATTTTTATTTACTCTACACTTTTATCAAATAATATTGGATTTGCATACATTACTCACTACAGACTCGAATCGTGGAATCGTAAGAATTGTCATGTGTCAATCTGATTTATTATTTGATTTTTTTTGATTTATTTATTACTTATTTATTAACACTGTAACCACAGTGCCGTTGTGCAGGTGATAGGGGACAGCTGCACTTACTTTTAATTAGCAAACAAAACGAAAACGAAATCGTAAATGAAATGCCGCCGAAACCGCCCAAAAGTATGCAAAACTTTTGTTATTGTCGCCAAATAAATTTCACCAATGCGAACGGGGTGGGCGTGTGGGCGTGGCTGGTCCAACAAATTCGCAAAATATGGTAACGTAGGAGGGGGAGAGGGGAGAGAGGGAGACAGGAGAAAAACAACAAGCGGCTAACAAAAAGTTCCACCGACAGCAAAATTATGTGGCGTCAAATGCGGCGCGTCGCCTCAGGGAAAACCGCCTCCAACTGGAGCCATGGGGGCGTTGGAGGTGTAGTTGTGGGCGTGGCCAGGTGGCTTTCCCACCTACGTTTCCCCCTTTCCCTGGTGCGGTTGCCGTCGGGCTGAAATTTATGCTGCTGTGTGAAATTTTACGCGACAGGTGGAAAAATAAAAGCAACGGCAAGAAATGCAGCAAAAAGTTGCATGCAAATTTTCTAAATGGAGAAGGAAGTGCTCCAAGTCTGTCTGAATATCCTTTCTCTGAGGCCCCCTCACCACCCCCGCAGTATAAATCCACTTAAATATTTAAAAGGACAAGGCAAAAAGGTCCCCGCGGACGAGGGCAATATGGCCAGGTTCCTTCAGCTGTCCTGGCATCGTATCCTTCTTTAACATTTGATTAGCGGCGCTTCTTTCCTTGGAAGTGGGTGAGGGGGAGGGGAGAGGAGGGGCAGGTGCTTGGGCCGGGTTTCCATGTTAACACTTGCCCACAACAACTGTCCTCATTAGAGAGAAGGGTTCCAGCTCGTGACTGGCAGCGTAAATCATCAATTAAAACAAATTTTCCATTTGGGGGCAATGTTTGAAATTAATTTTTAAAATGAAATGTTTCTGTAAATTATGAGGGTCACTTGAAGTGGGTCTAAGTGAGATGAGTTGGGTGGCAAATTAGGTGGGAGTTTCGAATGGGGTTTAAAAGGAGTTTGCAGGAATTTTTAATTTGTATGAGATACAATAAAGTATTAAGAAGCAAGTCTGGAATTTAATCAGCCATTTATTTGGAAAGAAATTAAGACGGCTTCTGTTAGGGAAAAGGAGATATTGTTAAAAGTCAAAAACTGTGTAAACAAAAAAAAAAAAAAAATTACATATTTAAAAGTTTTTAAGTACGTTTTTTTTGGTGAAGATTAATTGTAAGGCTTTAATATGAATTTCCATTATTCAATGGATATTTTGCACTCCAAGTTTATTTATTATAAATTTCAAATTGTAAAACATACTTTTAGTACTGCATTAAGGAAAGCTTAATCTTGTGAACAAAAGTAAAAAGAGGCACATAGCCAGAAATTCTAAATACATCATGTCTTTATTCCCTTGTAACTCCATACTTAAAAATCCAAAAAAAGCCCCGATAATTGTCCCATAATGCGAGCTCCGTTTCAAAGTTGGCCACTTGCACTACCCGCAATACGACGAGTGGTAATTGCAACTCAGTGCCAACCTCTGATAACCTTAGACCTGCTGCTTGATTTTTTTGTGGCTTCCAGGAAAACGTTTACCCAAAGCTACCCCAATAAGTGGGGGGCATATAAATTACGGGAATAAAAACTGAAATTGCTGCAAAAACAGAAACACACTTAAAACACACACACACACACACATATCGGGGTACGTGGAAAAGCAAAGCAAAAACGGAATATTTATGAACGCACCACGCGACGAGGGAAAGCGAAAATGCGCCAAACGTAATGGTGGACGAGGAGGGGGGTTCGGGGTTCGGGGTAAGGAAGTGGGAATGGTAGAATGGAACCAAGACCAACGAACCAAGTCCGAGGTCCTGTCTACCCTCTCCTGCAAACTGGCATACATATACTTTTCCCGCTGCCGGGCAATGTTTGCTGGCAGATAAAGCAAATGGCAAAAGTGTTTTCCATGCGCGATCGATAAACACGGCGCCAGCAAGGCGGGACAAATTTTCATAGTTCAAGTGGCGCCTAGGAAAACCCACCAGTCCACCAGCCAAGTGAAATGTGGCCAAAGGCAGGCAGGCAGGCGGTAGTAAAAATTCAGCTCAGAGAGAAATAAATGCGATAAAAATTATTGCGGAAGTGCGCAGGCGAAGGAGAAGGAGCAACAGGAATGGGTTTGACGCATATTCCTGGACTTTTGGGGCCACTCTTTTGCACCTCATCACCAGCCGGGTCCTTTGTGATTCGGTTGAATCATCGCCAAGGACGAAAACGAGAATTGATATCACGTGTCAGTCCAACGTCAATGTCACTCAGTCAAGTCAAGTCACTTCCTTCCCAGGCAAAAAAAAAAGAAAAAGGACTTCGGGGTGGCCATGAAAACGAGGGACTAAATGAGCCTCGGCTCCTTTGGATCTGATTTTATTTTACGATTTAGGCGTGTGTCGGCCTTTAGCTGTTGCCAAATTAGTTACCAAAATTAACTTGTCTATTTGCGTGGATTGCCGTTTTATGGCTTTCGCCAAGGCGACTTGGATTCCTCGGTGTTGTCATAAGGCGACTTCAAGTTCCAGGGAATTGCGGATAAAGATGAGTCACCGGCAAATTGTAGGCAGCAATTTATTTTGATTGGTTTCAGGTCTGTTAATCCAACATATACTGTTCCCAAACACCGAGTTATACAGCACCTTTATAGTATTTAATTAATTGAAATCTAAATTTCTTTCTCGTTTACAGACTCATTATTTAAATATTCCCCAATATTGTGATTGTTTTGAAGACCGACAATCCAGCAATCCGACTTTCTCTTACACAGCCAGCTAATTGTTTATACAAAGCACCTTTAATTATTTAGTTATTTCAAACTATTCCGAAATGACTTTTTCGTATACAGATACAAATATTTAAATTTTCCCCTTTATAATTTTTAGTGTCTCTTTTAAGTGTCTCTTTCGAAGCTTAAATGAATTTGTATCATATGGATACGATTTTGACGGGTGCCAGAACCTTCACAATTTCTTCTCTCATTAACCAGGTACTTATTCGCTTCGAGGACACAGGATGGGCCCAGTTGCCTGACCAAAGAGCAGACACTTTCCAAAAGGTCACTGCGATCGCTCTCCTTCAATCGGAACTCGTCCACCGAAAGAGCCAAGGTCAATAGATAACTCCAATGGGGCATTAAAAGACTTAAGCGGCACACTATCCTCGCCAACATTGGCACTTCCTGCCGCAGTTCCTTGAGCAGGCAATTGAAGATGGTGCCGGGATCCACGACTCCTGGAGTGGAGATCAGCTCCAGGATTTGCAGGCGGATTAAAGGCTGTCGGCGGTCCTTCACGCTCTCCAAAATGCTTAGAATCAGCTGCTCCTGGTGCCTCTTGAAGTTTCGCATCAGGTTTAGCAGGAAGAACATGGCCATTTCCACATCTGTCCAGGCACTCTGCTCATGCTCAACGATGTCGTACAGTTCCTGCATGGTATCAAGCTCCACCAAGTGGGCCACATCCACCAGGACCTCGGCCACAAGTCCTCGGAAACGATCCATGGGGCCGGGTAGAGCCATGTCCTCACAACTTTCTGGCACTCGGGTTATGGTGAAAAGGATCTTCAGGAGTCGCAAGAAGTACGGTCGATATGAAGAAGTCATTTCGGGATCGGCCTTGTAATCCAAATCCGCCGACAGCAAGGACCACATATCCATGGAGCTTTCAATCACCGAAAGTGGGCAGTGGACGGCTATGAGTAGCAGTAGTTCGATGGTCAGAAATCGCTCCTGGATCTTCGCAGGATTCCTTTTGGTCAGCTGGAAGTGGGTCTCGAATAGGTTCACGAATATGTGGCAATAGTTTTGCAATAGCTGCTGGTTTCCCACGGAGCGCTGGAATGCCGGTTCCAATGAGATGACCATCTCAAATAGACGGGAATCCAGATCTTTTCTGACCAGGGAGTGCTCCAACATGGCCACCACGCAGTCGGCGGCCTCCAAGTGTCCTTCAATCAAGGGGTCAACTAGGATAGCTTGCGCCCGTTGGAATAGTTTACGTTCTAGCACTTGGTCGGTTAATATAAAGCCATACCTTGTCCAGGACCCAAAAACCCGCAGGCACTTTAACAAACAAGTGTCTGGCAAGTCCTGACGCTCTAGGAATCCTTCCAGCACATTCAACACATTCGAGGACTGAAGACGGAGCTGCTCGTGTACGGATGCCAAGCACTCCACTTTCCGCTGCAGAGCAGATGATCGAGCCTCCTCGGGCAGGATCCGCAGGACCTCCAGAAGGGCCATCACGTACTCGGGTCTGCCAGACAGCTGCCTCATGAAGTCGTCCAGTTCGTCCAGCAAAACGGGTGCCATCAGTCCCAAAGCTGATAGGCAAATTCCCAGTTGCACCACCAAGGAATTGGATTCCGGGATCATGGCTGCATTCACCAGGTTCTGGATCAGTTCCTCCTTCAGATAGCTCAGATCGGACATACTCAGCAAGTGAAAGTCCTCCTTGGTTTTCTTGGCCAAACTGATGGCAGCAAAGGTCAGGATGTGGAGTGGGTAGTTGGGCCTGTGGGCCAGTAGTTCACTGGCTATCATCCACACCTGATGCGATTTCTGAAAGGAGTGCAAGTAACTATCAGCTGCATGATTGGTGTCAATGCTCAGCAGATAAAGTGCATCTATGACATTTTCTTTTGTGAACTGTTTCTCCATTCTGCTCGAAATTTCTCTTTTTTATTCGAGATATTCTTATATATACAACCGTTTAAATGGGAAAAAAGCCACTGCTTTGTAGAAAAAATATACTGAAACAAACTGACAGGATTACAAAATAAGAGGTTACTTTGTAAACTTTAAAATGAATTCCTAATAATCAGCCATTGTGAACTATCCACAATATAGACATTACAAGTTTCAGCAGACACCAACTCTGGAGCCCTAACCTTGATCCCGCGTGGCAATCAATTTTCCCAGCGCTTTCCCAATAAATGCATTGCGTTGAGACAATAAAACTCTATGAAAACTAAACAAACAAGGGACTCGAACCCATTGTACACATAGATATGTGTCCAGATTGCCGCAACTAACGTTTGCCAGGCACAAATATTTACCCTGTCGTCTCGATTCGCAGGACGTTTCAGGACGCCTCTCATCACGCACAAACGCACAAATTACAAGGGAATGGGCATGAATCCAGGGGGAGGGGAGAGGGGATCGGGGAGGGGGAGGGCTGCCTTGACCAGCGCGAACAATAAGCAATAAAATTATATGCCATATTATACATATACTACTATGCCACTCGCCTAGCAATCCACTCACACTCGCGGCAATATAATTTTGAAATCAGTTAAGTGTTGGCTTTGTTGGACATACAGATAAAGAGAAACTGGGGTTGATTTTTTAATATATCTTTTAATTGTTTAATATAAATAAATATAAGTAAATATTATATGTTGTATCCTAATAATAATTTGTACATTTTAAAATGATACCCCTAAAGGTTTTTTCAGTGACCGTACTGATATGATATGATTCGGTTTTTAAAAATACCAATAACGTTTAATTTATGTATCCAAGCAGCAGATATCTTTTAATTATTTATTATAAATAAATATAAGTAAATATTATATATTGTAGACTGTGAATAATTTTTAAATTTTAAAAAAGAAACCTTTTAAGGTTTTTTCGGTGACTTCAATTATTATAATTATGATTTTAAGAATGCCAATATAATCTAATTTATCAAGACAAGCAGCAGATAAACGAAATTTTCTCATCGAAAATCCAAGGCAACTAGGATATTTCTCTGCGTGTAGTCGCAGTCCTAGTCCAGCCCCTCGAAGTCCAAGTTCTCGACCACCCCTCGCACTGCGGGTCTGTCGTTTATTGTCGCGCTGTGTTGTGCGAGGAGTACATTAAGTGCGCATCATAAATTTCATTACATTATTATGGCGTTGTTTGCGACAACAAGCGGAGCCGTTAGCCGGATTCGACTACTTTATTGGATCGCCTCCGCTGCAGCGCCGTCAAATCACATAAATAAAACTATCCGAATCTATTGTCTATCCATCTGCCAACAGTCTCTTGTCTTTATTAATGCACTAATTATGGGGCGTGGGGCCACGCCCACTGGCAATGCATTTGGTCAGCATAATTTATGGGGTCGGGTTGGGTTGGTTTGGGTTTTTTCCCGAAAAGTTCTCCAAGGACCAAGGACCCAGGCACACGCCTTTATTTTGGCAGGCAAACAAGAAAGGGAGGCTCAAATAACCGAATTGCGTAGGAAATTATAATGCCTTGCCAAAATTTAAACAAAGGCGCGGCTGTCCTCGTTGTCTGGGAAATTGATTGCTTGGCACTCGCCAGCGACAAATGACAGTGAACTTATGTCGATAGAACAAACATAATATGGGTCGCTTGGGGGAATAAATATATAAAAGGAAAGAAGGTAATATAGACTTGGACTAGGCTGTACTCTCAACAGCCATATTGAACACACCAATTAATACACTTCACACTTATGATCAATAATAAAAAGAAAGTACCTTTACAGCAAGGAAAACACTTTCACTACAACCTGCGAGTGCAGGGGAGAAATTGAAATATGTTCTGCAAACTAGAGCACAAAACTTAATTTGCAGCCAAACATTGTTACGCTCCAGTGCCATCGAGAGCAGCAGACAACCGCAAGGAAAAGCCAATCAAGCTTACAAGCTGACCGCTTACATGACCGGACCCATATCCAAACAGGACCCATATCCATACCCCTAGCCATAACCCCCCTCCTCGTCGACGAAGTAAAGGCGAAAGTAATTTGCAAGCCACTTTGCAGTGCCACAAAACGGGGACACTAAAAAAGAGCTGTGGAAATAATTGAAAAATTTGCACTACATAGAAAATCGAATTATGTAGAAAGTGACGACGATGGCGCAGGAAATATCAATTAACAGAAAACAAGAGCAAAACCCTATTAAAACCTTATTTATCCCGGCCGAAAAAAGTGGATAAAAAGGAAGCCAGCTGTAAGCAAATAATGCGAAGGAAGTTTGCACAAACAACCCTCGAGCGGGGAAACAAGTGGAAGCAGGAGCTGCAGAATTAATTGCTTTATATGGCGTGATAATTTATTGAAGCCCACGATGACCAACATGGGAGCGAAGGCGAGGTCCTGCGGAGGTCCTGCCGAGGTCCTGCCGGCCCTGCACTTTCCAGCCGGGGATAACACAAGTATTATGCCGGCAACGAGGCGTAAGGGTCAATCACATTAGAGACATGCGATTCGAGGGTGGACCTCCTGCCTGCCCTTCGTCCTTCGTCCTTTCCCAACTCCCTGGTCAAGGGTTGACCCCTGCATTCTGCAATCTGATTATGTGTGCGGAGGAGGGTCGGTCGGGTAATAAGTTTTTCCCTGCATAATAAACATGCCAGAGGTATTGTGTGTTTGCTGTGACGTTTGTGCCACATCGCAAATACATACAGTCTCTTTGACTGTGTAAATCACCTAAGGCACTGCTGATAGATAAAGATATATAATATATGTATATGGGATATATATGTCTGGTCAGCGGCGTTTTTATACTTGATCTCTGTAAGCATTTACAAATATGATTGCGAAAGTTTCTCTGGCTTTTAAGATAAGCCTGCCAGCTGTGAAATCAAGAATATATAGCGTATAGGGTTACAAATGTAATCTTGATGTTATAAAAGTAAGATCCCATAAAAATACATTTTGATTATAATTTATTATAATTTTCATAAATATTTTATGTTCCAAAACTAGACTGTCGGTAATATATTTAACATATTTCGATGAAAACGCGGAGTGTTTAAGAATAAATACATATATCTATAAAAAATTCACTTAATTTCATTTCATTTGTCTCAAAACTGTAGTATTTAAAGAACATGTTTTTAACCAAACTTATTGCATAGAAATATAAAATTAATTATTTTGTAGATATTTAAGAGTTCTTGAAAATATCTTTATAAATGCTCTTTGTTCGATTCTCAAAGTTTTAATTAGTGGGGATTTCATGTGGGTTTTTACATTGCACAAAGCGTGTCTGCGCTTCACCATCATTTAAATGCGAATACTTTTTTGTTGAGGAATTGTTTTGTTTTGCCCTTTACGGATTTACGCACTGGCGACCGAGGGTCTTTTGCTGGCATAAAGGTATGGTATGAATATAATCAGCGCATTCAATCGACTTAATTTCATTATGAATACGGAGGCAGCTAAACGTTGCCCCTCACTCCTCGTGCCACGAATTTCCTTTGCCGCTTGGCCCAAGCCGAGCTCATAAATAATCTTGCCAACTTGTCGGACAGGACACTCGCCGGTAGCTCCGCTTTTCCCCCTCTTCTTTTCCCCCTCCGCTTTCCCGGTTTCCCGGTTTTAGCCACGACCAGCTGCTGGCTGCTCGAGTTGCACGGAGCCGCTCCTGCCACTTCGGCTGCTTGGCCGCTGTTGACAAACAAATATGAAACTAATCCCTGGTAATTAGTGCGCCAACTTTTGCTGCATTTTGAGCCCGGGAAGGACACAGGACGCAAGGACTCACGGACGGGGACTTGTAGTCGCTGCTGTCGCCGCTGGAGAGGGACTCGCTAGCTGGTTGCTCTTTCGGCATCTCAGTGTCAGGAACACTGAAAGAAACTCTATATATATTTAAGGTCATAACATGCAAAACATCTAAATATTCCTCTGTAAGTATTACATCATTAAAAGGCTTAAGAACATCCTTAAGATGTGTAATCAAAAGTAAATACATTTTTTCATTCTGAAATTACTAAGTGAAAACTTAAAGTTTAACCTTTCATAACACAATATCAATTATTTTTTACAGTGCATTCCCAGCTCCTGGTCACAGGAAGTTAGCAGATTCTTTATGCTTTCTGCTTTTTGCGGTTTTCCCGGTCGCATCTCGTTGTTTTTCCTTTCGTTTTTGTGGCGGTGTCGTCGTTATTTTTATTGGAAAAGTTAAGCTTGTGTTTTGATAGGTTTCAGTCGTAAAGGGATTAATTAGTGCGGACTTCGCACCAGCGGCTCCGCCAACAGGATAAAGCCAGGCCGGTGTCTGGGGTACCAGCTCAACACGCCGCCTCATGTCGCAATGCATAATGAAAGTTGAGCTAAGTTGCATGGACTTTTTGTGGCGAATGGGACATGGCATCGAATTGGAGTATGTAAACGAGTTGACTTAATGAGCAGATTTTGCAAAATGCGGCACCCATAGGTTGGGAATGTGATACCTTCTTAACCTCGCTATTTTATTAACTTACGCAAAAATCATTACTAATTGTTTTTCCAAAAATATTGGGGATTGGTTAGTTAAGGTCGTAAACCTACACAAAAAGTTGTTTTTAGACCAAGTTACAAAGTTGAAAAGTTTCATAGATTTATGTTGTGAAATAAAAATGATTTCATAAACATGAATTTTTAAAAACAAACACTCATTTGAAATTATAGTTAATAACAGCTTAGAAGATAATAAACTTTTTGGATATCATTTTGTGTCAATATCCTGGCAAAAAAATGTGGAATTTATTGCAGTAACCTTTTTTCTTATATTTACCCCAATTCAGAGCTCAATTACTTACGAGATTCTTCACATAATTCTTCATCTGGCCACTTGTCTTCACTGCAGTGTATTAATTTTATTTTTTTTACCCCTTTTCCTCCAACATTTCTTACTCGAAATTCCAATGCTGCAGAATTTGCCGCTGTTTTTGCCGACCGTTCGCCTCTTTCTTATCTTTTTATTATGAACTGCAGCGACAATTTTGCTAGCCATGTCAGCGCATGATTTACGAGGCCGTGCCGTACAAATGAAAATTGTACCAAAACCGGGGGACAGACAAACCTTTTTTGTGGCTCTGGAGTTTTGGCCACAAAACAGGAAGCGGAAATGAGTGCGCAGAACGACTATGGCGACATGTGAAATGTGTTTGCCACCGAAGAAGCACACAAAAAGCCAAAAGGCACAAAAAAAAAAGAAAGGACCAGCAAACACATGCAAAATAAACGGGTTCAAGTGGCGCTCGTAAAAACGGGAAGTGCGGGGGGTGGCCAGTGGGGGGAGGGGAGGGGGGAGATTCAAAGCCAAAGGATAACTGTTGAATTGTTGGCCATAATAACAAGGCAGGACTCCCATGTGTGTCTGTGTCTGCCTCTGTGTGTGTGTGGGTGTGTGTGTGTTTGTGTTGGCCTGTCGCGTAGCAACTTGTGGCTAGCTTAATAGCAGTTAACAGCGAGTCGGGGAAAAGGGGGTGAGGAGGGGTGAAGAGGGGAGTGAAGAGGGGGTCAAAGGATAGTCGCCTGTACATTTTTCAAGACTCTTCGGAAAGAGCTTGCATAGTGTTAACTTGGTTAATAAATTCAATTTAGTTATTAAGCGTCTGAATTTCTTATCAGCAATATAAATCTTGGAATGCTGTTTGCAAAAGTCTTGGGTAGTCTCCATTTAAGTATAGATAAGTTATTAAGTTTTCTAGAAGGACTTCTAGGACTTCGATTTAGATAAGTACTTTGAGTAACAAAGATTCGTTATTGCTGATATATTATATTTTAGTTTATTCCAAATAACTTATGTGAATGATTTGAATAAATTAACCATTTATAATAGCTTAGCTCTCTTGGCTGAAAATCGGAATAAAATTAAACTTTAAAAAGGCATACAAAGGAGAAAGAAACGCACTAACTACCCAGAGGAATACAGAGAAATAAAATGCACTAGAACAACAGCCGAACCGCGTGCTGTGAAAACAATCCAATCAATTTATTAATTAAGCAAGCCACTCCGCCAGAAGAGCGCCTGATGTACGACTGTATATAGTATTTTATATATATATTATATATATATATAGTATTATATATATCCAGCCGATAGTCTGTCTAGGGGGAATGGGAATCCTCGACGCGTCTATTTGTCTAGCTTTGCGCAATGGATTTTTAATGTTTTCCTCGGACTCGGCGAGTGGGAGGACAATAATGTAACGCATTGTTAAGTCCGCTTGGCACTTTTCGCACGCCAGCTGTGTCCGGCTGGAAAAGCGGTGGAAACCCCCGAGGAAAACCGAACCTAAGGAGCTGGCGAGGAAACGAGACCGGTCTTTAATGAGCCCCAAACTGCAATTACGCAAAACATTTGCCGCACTGCATGTGCCTCGAATGCGACGGCGTCCTCAGAAATAATTTTAATTGCGTTTTGCTTTTTATTTTATTGCATGTGGCGCCCTAACGATTTCGTTATGCTGGAGTAAATTAAACTAAAACAGTGGGCAGTAAGGAAAAACCATTTAAAAAGACTGAACCGAAGTTCCGTTTAGCAACTAAAGTAATAACTAAACCTAAAAGGTTTAATGAAAAATGTTACTGACTTCGAAAACATTGTTTTGATTAACTTTATAAGCTCATTACTGGCGGATACATACGTTCGTTTCCATGCTTCTTAAATCCAAATTATCTTAAATCTTTGGAATTAAAAATTAGATTACTATAAATGTTATTTGGACTAAAATCTTTACTTAGTTTGAGGTCTAATAAATATATAAACTGGTAAAAATGTTTATTATTATTGTATAAACTTTAGGTACTAGCCAAAGAAAACTAATACTGCCCCCAAAGAAAACTAATACTGCCCCCATGGCTTCAATATATATAGTTGAGTAGCCAAATGGCATTGAGTAAATGACAGACATTCCATCCAATACACAGTCATGGCCTCAGCGAATTGGTTAGTTCCATCTCAGCACTCTCCGCTTTGTAGAGCCATGTTTCATTTGTTGACTAACTAAAATGAAGCTGGTAGTATTCCTGATTTCTGTAATCATGGGCATTGCGATCGCAGTTCCACAACCACCCGTGGATTTCGTCACTGTCAAGCCAAGACCTGGCATAAAACCCAGGGTTCCCGAGGGCAAATAGAACCCGGCTCCACCTGTACTATGTTATGCCGATCTAGTCTACGAAATTAACTGAAATAAAGGGTTTATCTTATAGTTGGGGACTAGTATGGGTAAATATTTTTGTTAAAATTAGAAGATTGAAATCATTATCTTGAGTTGATTTAAATGAGTTTAAACCTTTGGTGCTTGCATATATCATCTTTGGTTGCTGGGCATTTCATTTATTTTTATACGCTTCAGGCTAATTACTTAGTCGTTTGTTATTGAACAATATTAAGACCTTGACATTTGGGGAGTCGGAGATACTACGCACTTGCTTTCGAATTGCATTACTCAACCTTCTACCTTAGAACTTCAGTAAAATAATAAAATAACACTAAATAATAATAATTAATACTAAGTTTATATTTCGAACCAGCAACTGCAAACGAATGAAAATTTAAGTTTTGGAGTCATAGAATTATGTTTTATAGTGTTGCTATTCTCTATTGCCAATAATAGTAGCTCGACTTAAAATGTTATTGAAAACACATTTATCTATTTAAATCTGATATCTACGAAATTTCATTCTTTGGCTTAAAGCGGAACAATTAGATTTTCGATGCTTATGACAAAAATGTCCCAACACAATAGAGTGTGAATTTTAAAGGTCAAAACACATGGAAATTATTTACCTATTTGTCGTTAATCAACATGTTCCGCTTGACCACCAAAACAGGGTATAAAAAGCGGCACCCAGCTCTTTGAAACCATCAGTCAAAATGAAGTTCGCAGTCCTAATCTTCGCAGTTCTGGCCCTCGCCTTGGTCAACGCCCAAAAAGCCGATGATGATCTCAAATCAGGTGGCAAGTAGGATCCCGTCCTTGGCGGACCTACACGAGTCCCAATTATGAACAAATAAATTGCGGACCACTTATCCAAGTCTTTCGATTTTTATATTAGCTTTACTGTATTTACTAAAAGTTAAAAATCAGATAGCAACGAATCAAAATCTGCCAAGTGGGCACCTTCTATTCCGAAGGTGCAAATTTTTGGGGACTTTTTGGCTTTTTGGGTTCATAACAAAATGAGAATGTGATCACTATTTAAGGTAGAGTGTAGATTATAAACTTCTTAGCTGTAACCTGATTTAAACTGCGCCGTTTTGGCATTCTCCTTCTTCAACGCCCAGCACAAAACGCTTAAGAAAGTTCTCAATCTCTGAAAGCTAGGCTAAACTGTTAAGCTAAACTCTTTTGATCAGTATTATTCAAAAACATTCAAATCAAAAAGTTTTAAGCAATAATCTCCGATTCGCTGATAGCTGGTTACTTAGCTAAAATATTGTATGGAGAACCAGACAGTCATAATGCTAGATACGAATTAGTCCTTCGATACATGGATAACCAATCGATTCGTTTGGTAGCTTAAGCCTTTGCCAAAGTGATTTTCTGCCACAAGTAGACGCCAACAGTACTTAAAACCCACTGTTTCTTGGCTTTCCCCAACGAAATGAAGCTAGCTTTTCTGATCGTCAGCATCCTTGGACTTGCCCTCGTGGAGACGTATCCCCTGCCAAAAGCTCCTCCCTCTTCTGGATGGACTAAAATGGGAGGTTGACCTTAATGTTACTGACAAACAATGCGTTTAATGTGAATTAAATTAAATTTTATTTCAACCATGTCCAAAAATAAAAAAACTTTTGAAAACTTTAATTATTTTCAGTTTTAATTTCCTGTAGAACATTAACATGTTTATAAGTGGGGAAAGAGGTCTTCGTTTAGACCGAGTCCAATCAATTTTTCTTCATTCCAAACTATTGCCAATCCGGTTTTAAAATGATCTTATTTTTTAGAAGTTATGCAGTTATTAGCATCACCTCTTAAGATGAAGTTTACAACAATTATCCTGGCAGCTCTGAACATCATTGCCGTTTGGCCTATATACTTATCTAATAATTCCTTCTTCAAAACAGATAGTTCTTAAATGTAATTATTCCATAAACTATGACGTATAGGTTCACGATCGTTGTAGCTGCAGTTGCGACCTTTAGTTTGGCCACCGCCAACAAAATGAGTACCTGTTACAATTTTTTTAAATAAATATGTAGTTCTTAACCAATTGATTGTTTTTTATTGATTTTACATCTCATGACGGCTTTTCTGTCATTTTGTAGTTGATTTTAGACTACAATGATTTGATGAGATTATGATAAACTTGAAAATTGCTCCTTTTCTTCAATCTACCTTTTAATAAAAATGACTGAATAGGGTATGAGACAAACTGTTAAGACATTCCTACCTATCAATCAATAAAGTTGATTATTGCCCTAAGACACATTCATTAATATTACAAGTTTTAGGTTTTCCACATCAACACTCAATATTCCTTGCAGTCGTAGTGTATACAAACAAGGTTATTGGTTTCAAATGAGACTGAAGCAAATATTTGAAATGAAAGTAATCATTTTACGAAATAAATTTTATTTAGACAAGAAAGAATTTTGGTTTATTAAAATTATATTTTGGTAGTAACTTGTCTAGCCTTACCCATTCCACGTGACTTCAAAGTAATTTAAGATAACTAACTTTTGCTCTGATTACCTATGCTTTATTTATTTATTTAAATTTATTTAAGAACACATTAAACTATTTTAATCATACCTACGACCTTTTCATTCTTTGGCTTGAAGCGGAACAATTCGATTTTCGATGCTTTTGACGAAAACAATAGAGTCTGAATTTTAAAGGTCAAAACACATGGAAATTATTTACCTATTTGTCGTTAATCAACATGTTCCGCTTGACCACCAAAACAGGGTATAAAAAGCGGCACCCAGCTCTTTGAAAGCATCAATCAAAATGAAGTTCGCAGTCCTAATCTTCGCAGTCCTGGCCCTCGCCTTGGTCAACGCCCAAAAAGCCGATGATGATCTCAAATCAGGTGGCAAGTAGGATCCCGTCCTTGGCGGCCCTACACGAGTCCCAATTATGAACAAATAAATTGAGGACCACTTAACCAAGGTTTTTAATTTTGATATTGGTTTTAAAAGGTTAAAAATCAGATAAGAATGAGTCAAAATCTGCTAAGTGGGCACCTTCTATTCCGAAGGTCCAAATGTCAGGAAACTTTTGGCTTTTTTGAGATGTTCGAAGCTTTACCGAATTTTCAATATTCCATTTTCGTCATGAGAGACATCAACAAGTCAAACGAGCTATAATCTTCTTAAAGTGACTATAAATCTATTGAAGTAATGTTTATTTACTGAATTCATACAATACAAAGAATAACTACTTATTCACTTTTTAAGGTAGAGTGTAGATTATGAACTTCTTAGCTCTAACCTGATTTAAACTCCGCCGTTTTGGCATTCTCCTTCTTCAACGCCCAGCCCAAAACGCTTAAGAAAGGACTTAATCTCTGAAAGCTAGGCTAAACTCTTCAGCAAGTGTTTTGACTAGACAGTCATAATTCAAGACACGAAAGAGTCATTCGATACATGGATAATCAATCGATTCGTTTGGTAGCTTAAGCCTTTGCCAAAGTACATAAAAACCACTGTTTCTTGGCTTTCCCCAACAAAATGAAGCTAGCTGTTCTGCTCGTCACCATCCTTGGACTTGCCCTCGTGGAGGCCTATCCCCTGCCAAAAGGTCCTCCCACTTTTGGATGGACTAAAATAGGAGGTTGACCTTCATGTTACTGACAATCATTAAATCAAATTTTATTCCAACCATGTCCAAAGATATAAACCGTTTTTGAAAACTGTAATCATTTTCAGGTTTAATTGCCTGTAGAACAAAAGCATGTTTATAAGTGGGGAAAGAGGTCTTAGTTTAGACTGAGTCCAATCAATTTTTCTTCATTCGTAACTATTGCCAATCCGGCTTTAATAGGATCGTATTTTATTGCCGTAATGCAGTTATTAGCATCACCTCTTAAAATGAAGTTTACAAGATTTGTCCTGGCAGTTCTGAACATCATTATTATTTGGCCACCTATAAACTTAACTAAAAATTCCACCGGCTAAGATGTTGTCTTTTTTAATAATCACAAAGCATTTGACCACATTCAAATGCTAGAAGTGTGTGTATCATTAATAAAATCAGCTTACAAAAACCATAAACAAAATGTTTAAGATTTTATTGTAAGATACCGACAAAGTTGATGAGTAAGACCTGTAAGTGGTAACCAATCGATTTGGTAGTCACCCCTAACTGTGTCTAATCCAATTCTTTTCGCTTACAAATCGCAGAGTATATCAATACAGTTCGTTCTTCTATGTAATTATTCCAAAAACTATGACGTTGAGGTTCACGATAGTTGTAGCTGCAGTTGCGACCTTTAGTTTGGCCACCGCCAAAATTCCCCGGAAAGTCTGAAAGGCAGCGGGGCATCAACAAAATGAGTGCCAATACATTTTTAAAATAAAATGTGTAATTGTTAATCAAGTGTTTTTATTTTATATTTACTATATACCTTGTTACATCTTTTGCACCATTTTGTAGGTAATTTGATTTTCATTGTTGTATCAGATTATGTAAAATTTGTACAGTGCTCGTTTTTGTCATCCCTCTTCTTAAAACAATGACTGAATAGGGTATGAGACAAACTGTTAAGACATTCTTACCTTTCAATCATTAAAAACAATTATTACCTTAAGACACATTCATTAATATTAAACGTTTTAGGTTCATTGTCATCTTCCACATCAACACTCAATATTCCTTACAGTGTATACTGACAAAGCCATTGAAACTATTTAAAGTGAGTCTTAATCGCAAAAAACTGTCAGTTTTCGACCCTTTCAAATAAGATTGAACCAAATATTTGAAATGAATTTACCAAATAAAATTTATTAAGATATCTTTGTTTGATTTTTTGTTTATTAAAAGTATATTTAGTAGTAACTTGACTAGGCTTACCTATTCCACTCACAGATGAGTTCGTGCTCTTGAGCTTATTTTCTCACTTCAACACTCGAGGAATTTTACGTACACTTTTGAGATAGTTTTCGACAGCGCAGGCGCTTTGCTTTTAGATTTTTTGGGCAGTAACTCACTCAAAATTTAGTTTCCTTTTTTTGGAGCCTGCAATTTGTAACCCTCCGATTGGGGATGAATGCAATTGTCGGACGAAAGGGTGTGATGGGTGGGCCAACGGGCGTGGATAGGTGGACAATTGCAGCTAATTGTCCATAATCAAATTTTTTGATGGCTGGTTACTTTGATATGGATAACCAATCGATTCGTGTGGCAGCTAAAACCTGATTTTCCGCCTGTTTTGCATAGTACCCTCTGCATGGGTATAAAAACCACTGTTTCTTGGCTTTCCCCCACAAAATGAAGCTAGCTGTTCTGATCGTCACCATCCTTGGACTTGCCCTCGTGGAGGCCTATCCCCTGCCAAAAGTTCCTCCTACACGAGGTTAAATAGAATTAAATTCTATATTAACCATGTTTAAAGAAAAAAACCGCTTTTGAATACCATAAATTGGCGTTAACAAGGCAAACAAATCAGCAGTACGCCGCCTGTTTGGCAGTTGAAATAGTGATTGAGCTGGCGGCATAAATCAGGCAAATTGAATTACAAAAAAACATGGAGCAATAAAATCTAGCAATTATATTTCTGCATATAATCGTATGCCTGTGTATGCGTTCTTCTGGCCCCGCGACAATTTAATTACAATTGGCCATTGAGAGAAATTGCAGTTGCCGCCGCACTGGCGCCGCAAAATATGCTAATTTATATTTATATGGATATGGAGTTATTCCCTCGCCGACTTTTCCGCTTTTCCGCTTGCCCCGCCCCCTCTGGCCGCCGCACCGCCCCCTAAATTTGGATCCAACTCCAGACTCCGCGGCTGTGTGAAATATTTTCGGCGGCGACTGCGGTCGTAAAATTTATTGTTGCCAAATGCATATTTGTCACATTTTGCAATGTGTTTGGCGGCCATAGAACAATTTACAAGCAACTGGGGACTTTGGCTAAAAGCCTTGCCCCTCCATCTCCATCGATCTCCTCGCATTCGGAAAAATAAACCAAGTCCAACTGGATGTGCGGGCTAAAAGCGCCTTCGGCTCAGCTGAAATACACATATTTTATATATTTAATTGTGGCCTTTTGGGCCATGCATTTGGGAGAGCTTAGCTGCGAATGTAGAAAATAAACTCTTCAATTGACGGTGATCTAAATCATTTTGGTACGCAAAAGGCTAAAAGAGCTAAAGCCATTACATCAAAAATCTTTCAGTTCAATATAACAAACTTTTAACTTTGCAGGGTTTTAATTGCTTATGTTATTTGTAAACTATTATTTCTGAATAACACATTTTTGACACGGTTAATGTCTTTAAAGAGCGGTTTCACATTTGTTTACTTTATTTCAGGTACATCCCCAGGGTCCAGGAATTTTAATGGCCCATTCCAGAGGCTCGCCTACTAAACTTCCCATCAACATGATAATTGGCCGACACTTCCAAGGAAAATAGCCATTGCCTTTTGCCCTTCAGCTGTCACAACACTCGCACACTCACCCACAACACACACACTTCACACCTCAGAGACTCGCTGAATGGGAATCCCCTGAATGCTCGCTAAACAAAAGAAATGAAGTCATTTGTAATTAATGAGGTTTGTCACCCCAATTTTCCGCAACTTCCACTGCCACAAAAAAGAAGAAAACATCAGACTTCGAGGGGGAGGGGGTTGATGGGTGGGAAAGTGGGTGGTCGGATGAAGTTCACCTGCCTGCCTGGCATATTGAAAATCACAGTCGGTGAGCTGCAAAAAAAGCAACACCATCCACAAAACAATCTAATTATGTCGTTAAGCACACCGAAATTGGCAGCAGATCCACCCCTGAAAAGGAGACCCCTCAGGTGAATGGTGGAGGGGGGAGGGGGTGGGTTTGATAGTGGGGTGGGGTGGGTGTTCACCCCTGTCACCTTGACAGACAGACAGACGCGTGCTTGACCCTGACAGACAGGCTGACTTCTGGGGTGACAGTTTCCGTTCGCTTGTTTAATTAAAATTATGTAAATAAATTTATTTAGCTGACACTGCGCTGTAATTAAGTGCAAGGGGAAGGGTGGCCCTGCATCTGTTGCCTGACAAATTTGGTCCACCTTGGCGGACAAGTTATGCGCTGTCTTCAGCTATTTACACGGAAAAAATAGGACATATTGTCAAATAACTATTAGTTATATAAAACACATAACATATATTTTATTAATTTTGAAGGCAAACAAGACCTAAGACTTGCCAACATATAAGAAAACTTAGGTTACTGAAATAATTGGGATTTTGTAATATTTCAAAATAGCATTCGATAGGAAATTCATTTCAAATGATATATAATAGTAAATTCTATAATCAATAAAAGGTAATACATGCTATAAATATTATTAAAAAGGGTAATTGAATATTGTAAACGATTCTGGAATATTATACCTTTTTTTTAATGCCACGGAATCGTTGTCCAAACTTTGGGCGAGATTTCCCCCTGTGTAGTGGCTTTTGTCTTTTCCCGTGTCTATATATGCTAACAAATTAGCCTTGAAATGAGCAATTTGCAGGCTATGGTGGGAGGAAAGGGAGTGTCAAGATGTTAGAGTGGGTGGTTGGGTGGTTGGGTGGCTTGGTGGTTGGGCGGTGGAAGTGGGAGTGGCTGTCTTCGCCGTGAATACAAACTGAGCTGACAGCTGCTGTCAGTGGCCGCCCGTCAATGGCGGAATGTCAGGGAGTATTAAGTATTCCTTCCGGGTGGCGAGAGGCGTGAAAAAGCAATTAAGTGTGAAGTCCTTAAGGTTCCGCAACAACAGCAGTCAAAAAAGAAAAGGAAAATACTTTTTCTTAGTTCAGAACATGAGAGCCAAATGAAAAATGATCTGAGACATGCTAATGGCACTTCTCCTCACATCACGAACTCTTCTCAACTTAAAGTTTTAATAAATTCCCATGAAACCCCTTCGATCAGAGCTCTCAATCACTTTTCGGAGGGAAAATCAAATAAATTCCATTGTGACAAGTCGCACAGTTGACCTCTCCAATCCGACATTCATGGGCCTTCATAATCCGCATGCAGACTAATGAAATGCCAAAAGTCAGAGGCCCATTTCACATATGTCATGGCCCCCCTCCCCCGATGTACAGTCAACTCCACACGTGCTCCATTGACGTCACCACAGTGAAGCCATGTTGACATCGACGTGGGGGAAATTGTTTTGATGAATGTGTCGATTTAATTGATGAATGAGTTTTTAAGCTGGCAAAAAATCGAATGGCATCACGTTTTTCCTGCCAGGGAAAGTTCTGTTGGTACACTGAAAAAAAGATTGCAAACTCTAATACACATTTCTTAATAAATTGTTAATTTTTAGTTAATTGAAGGGTAAACATTTTATTTAGTTATTTTATTATTATAAAGTATAAGGACATATCCAATAAAGTAACTTAAACAATAGATAGCCATAAATAATTTTTTTCATGTGTGCTGTGGGATTTATTTCTACCTGAGGGCGCTTTGAAGGATGATCGGCCGACAGGTGAGCTGTCCTTAATTGAGTACTCGGAGTGATTCCATAAATAAGCTGGAAGGAGACCGGATAGACAGAGGCCAAAAGTCCAGGACTAACAAGGCCAAAAAGTGTGCTCCACAAATTCGAAAGTCAAAGCGCAACAATTGTAAGCCGCAAATATCAATAAAAAAGGAGTGCAACATGGAGCTGTAATGTTGCGATTTGTTCGCTGCCCGAAACACAAAAACAGAAGGGGAAATTCGAGTCGGGTTAGCGTCAGTCTCTGGCATGCAATAATATAAATTCCGGGCCGCACACACAGCCCTTTAATCGAGGTACGGCGACGGGCTGGAAAAAAAGCAGAACACTGAAAATAAAATCCAACATCCAACTATAAATAGAGTCGGGCACAGCCACCCCTCCTTCCATGTGCTGTTATTGGAGTGAATTTCTGGGAAAGTCTTGTGGCTTAATCTACAACAGCATGCGGTTTTCAGGCAGCCAGGAACGCCGGCAATAAAAGCCGGCAAACTGGAGCTGAAATGGGAGCCGCATGCAGCAGCGGTTAAATATTTAAGGCCTCGGCTTACGAAAGCCAACCGATTTGG